CCCCTCTAATTAACCAACTGGTCTATGTGAAAGGTGCAACTAATTATAAGTCATTTCTTAATAAAAAGAAAGATATGGTTGTTTGCCCTCTCTTTTATCTTATCTTTATAGTAGATAGAGGCACAAATAAAGGGGGCAGTATCTTTTTAGAGGCCTTCATTATGGCTCAAATGAAGGTCTCTAAATTAATTAAGATATTTAGATAATATCTAAATATCTAAAATAATTTTAAATTAAAAGCCTTATTTCTTTAAATTCTATTTTATTAAAGGTGATCAGTGGTCTGGACTACACCCCCACCCCCTAAAGGTGAGGGTAAGAGGGGGAGGGTTTAGGGTAGCACCAATCGAAGGGGGGATATCTTATAGGATTCATAAGATTTTACTTGCCTTGCAAATCCTATAGGATCATTAGAACTCCTGCGATTGACTTTCAGATGTGCAATATACGGCTGTTTCATACAATGTAAAATTGGGCATTACATCATGAGTTTAGCAAAAAAATTGCGGGGAATCATTTCCGTCGCTGTTGCCTTACGTAGCTGGTTGGGATTCTGTTTGCGGGATGGGAACTGATGGAATAATCTTTAACATGTTACTTCTGCTGATCAACTTAACTTCTACTTTATTGGTTTAAAGATAAACTTATTTAATAACACAGCTGATTGTCTTTGCTTACCCCCTCAACCAAAACTATTTTGAAAGAATTTGACTTTTGCGAGGTCTTTTACGGAACTTTCTATTAATTCTCCAATTACTAACCAATCACTTTACACTTTTCATTTACCAATCACATGTATATCTGTTAAAATTTAGCTCGAAGAGCATAATATTGTTTTTTTTGTTTTCCTATTGTTTCAACTCTTTAACTGTTTAACCGCAACATGCGTCATCCAGAATTGCAATACATTTGAACTCAAACTTTTACATGCGTTTAAATATCTGTTTATTTACTTAAGTTTCACAAACACCTTCATTCAATAAAGTTATAGTAAGTTGAATACTCATTTTTTTATTTATTATTTACTGTTTTTATTTTATGGATAACAGCACAGTCATTAAAATAATTAATACGTAAGGAAAATGCTCAATTATATATGTTGAGTTTTAACTTATTTAAAGTGTGTGTGGGATAACATGTTCGGTTTCCTCTAAAATAATTTGATGTACGTAGGAAGACTCAATACTAACTCACTAAATATATATCAGACCTTTGGTACATAAATACATTTTGATGTATTTAGAACTCAAAATAAAATGTATAAAATGTCTAGATTCTAGATGTATTGTGTGTGGCATTTCGGTGTACCAATTATTTGTATGGTTCACGGATTAACAAAAGAATGTTAGATTTTGTGTTTCTTACATAATGACATTACACAAGTGCAGTATATATGTGGTACTAACTCAGAAAAATATTCTTTAACATTTCAGCAGTAGGATGTCCTCTTAAATGCTGCAATATAAGAAGGCTTTAACAGCATAGAGATTTTACTTGCTTGTTTTGAGATATCCTGATGGGGTTTCTCAAAATGAACATTCAAAACATTTAAAACGTCATATATCAGAGTATTGAATCCTTATAAGAGTCAATACTGTATCCATTTCCTTACAAGAATCTGGTATTATACTACATAATTTTCAATTTTACTTAACGATGATATCTTTTTATACCTTGTCTTTAAGTAATTATGCACACATTCTCTCTATTATAATATGTTTTTTTTTTTTGTTTTTTGTAATACTTCTGCTTGATTATTTTGCTGTATGTCTAATAAATCAGGTTATTTTGTTATATTGTGTTGATTGGTTTATCACATTATGATTACCATAATGATGGCAATTATTAATAATTGTTTTGGTTTTTTAAAGATTTTTTTGAATATTTTTATTATGAATTCTTATAGTTTTAATTGGATGTTTCCCATTTTTTGTCTGAGGTTGACAGGTTCATGTTGCATGGGGATATACAGATTTATTCTGTTTATTGCTATTTGAGAATAAAAACTAAATGTAAAATAAATACTATCACAAAAACGGTGCATTTTTTTATAAAACAAATTACTCAACTAAAACGATCAACTAAACAGTATAAATTAAAATTAAATCTGTACTAAGAATAAAACAAATTCTCCATGTTAACGGCATTAACTCTGATTTAATATTAATTAAGTGTTAAGCGAATATTTCTAGTAATAGGGTATTAATTATAATTAAATGCAAATTAAATATAAAATAAGCAAGTCCATTAAAATGGTATACATTTTTAAAAACAAATAACTCCATTAAAATGGTATACATTTTTTAGTGTAGCTATTCAAAACTGAATAGCTACACTAAAACGGTATAAATTACAATTTTATTTAAACCAAGTATAAACTAAGCATAATCGAATTACTCGACAAAAACAGTATAAATATAGTTGAATATAAACTAAGTATATAACAACAAACTCCACTTAGAGAGTATACAGTTTTAATACAAATAACTCCACTAAAACAGTATAAATAATAATTTTATATAAACAAAGTATAATGCGTAATACTCCAAAAAAAGGGTATAAATTATACTGTAAATAAACTAGGTTTAAAAAGGTACAAAGTTTGAGTTGAATGTGAACTAGATATTAAACGAATAACCCCACTTTAACAGGTTGCGGTTATGATTATCAATAAAAAGAATGTATCATAGATTGATGATTATTGACTTGACATAAAATAAAGTTTTGACATTCTATCTATTCTATAAGACAATATTGCTATCCACAGAAATAAGTGCCAATCCATTTCTATGCCTGCAGCAGGCATACATTTGTGCATCAAGGTTGATTAACAATTGTAGCATTACCCATGACTGAGCAGGTTTTAATTTACCTTGTCTTGAAACCATTATTTGCTACGCACCCTAAGATTATTGCTCATTTATGCCCTAATTTTATAGGTAATATCATATATTCTACACTTGATCAATTTCAGCTTTGTTGTTCCTGTTGTCTTTTTAATTCATAAGTATATTTACATATATTTTTCTGCATTTTTTTTACAGATATCAATAACCAAACAAAGTTGTGGCAGGAATCTAATAGTATGCAATTTTTATGATTTCATTGCATAATTGCTGGTAATTTCTGGTGTACATAGGTATGGGGGAAGGGAGTATATATGTCTGAATAAATGCCCAACTAATGATAAAATGATTTTTCATCATTAAATGATTCAGCTCCACTATGATAATTTAGTGCCTATATAGCTCATATAGGTACTAAATTAGCATAGTGGAGCTGAATCATCAAGCTATTTACACAATCTATAAAATAGAGTGACAATTAATATTCTGATATATATTTTTATTTCTTATAATAGAACCTCAGTTCCTGATGATGCAATTATTTGTGGATGTGCACCAATTATTTGTGGATGTGCGTCAGACAAAGTCTGAATCAGAGTGGGCTAGATTTGTAGAAAAAACTAAAGTCATCAGCCGTGCAATTTTGTATTTCAACAGATTAAAATAAATAATATCTGCTATACTATTTATTTAGTTATAAAGTTAGTTATGTAAAAAATTTCTTTTAATACAGAATGAAATTTTATTTTTCTAAGAAAATGTTAATTCATACTTTAATTTTAACCTATTATCAGTAATTCAAAAGACGAATAGACATATTGATAATTTAGTATGTTATTAGCTTGGTTATTTGATTTATGTTATTAATTATAATAATACTAAATACTATGCTTCCTATATGAACAGGGTCGCCAAGAGGGGGTGGGGGCAAAAGAGATAGTTTGTCCCGGGCGGCAGATATCCAAGGAGCGTCAATGAAAAGAAGAAACCTAAAAAAAAAAGGTCCTTTATCTATAATATAGGGAAATTTTGATATATACGGGTACCAATCAGGGTTGCTGTCCCAGGCAGCATGACAGCTCTTGGCGGCTCTGTATACGAATCAAAAATTTGCGTACTGCATCCTGTAAGAATTTTATGTTTGTCCTACAAGATCTTTTAAAAATTTCTTCCAGATCTTACCTTATCCTATAAGAATTGCTTAAAATCCTACAAGATCTTTCAAAAAGATTCTTGTAGGTCCTGCTGGGACTTGTGAAACTTATCCTATAGGATTCTTGTAGGATCTGTAAGATCAGTAGTCTATTTTAATTTCTGAACCATTGTACTTGAAAGTCTGAAATTTCAAATTTAACCTATCTACATAATGCATATAACAATATATAAAAATCATGAAAATCAGAGATGGTGACCCACAAAGTTCTCTTCAAATTGGTTGAAATATAATGATTTGACCCATATCTATCAATTATATTTTGATCGAGTCATGTGTAACCTAAGTAAAAAATACAACTTAAAAAAGGCTTTCTTTGCTCACCACTTGCTTGATTGAGTTAATCAATTAAGCAATATCTAAAATTTTTGCAAACAGTATTTTACCCTTACGGAATCAATTACCATCATATACAGTTAACTCGAAAGACTTGAATGAGCTCACAAATTAACTCAAAAGACTTAAATGAGCTTGTTTTGTATTTAATTATTTACATTTAACAGTTCCTATTATAATTCAACATTGAAATCTTCTGAATTTTATTTACCATACCCTTGAAAACAATGGCAAAAATTAGTTAATGTCAAAAATTAAAGTAAAGAGAACACACGCAAACTTTTGCTTTGACTGATGTCAAATAAGGTGTTTTGTTTTCAATATATTTATTTTTGAACAAATTGTAAAAAAGTAACAATACAAAATCATAACAATGTTGTTACAATTATTTAATGCAAATTGAAGACGTTTTTTTTTTTTTTTTGTAAATGACATAATTCTTTTGTAATTTAAAATTGTTATTAAACACAAATTTAGACTTTTCCAGAAGTTACTTAACAAAGACACAGAAAAGAAAAACTCATAATCTGCTTTTTTTAAATCTTAGTTCTTTACAATATCAAAATTTTTTTAAATATTTTATTTTTATATTTATATCCTCTTACAAGTAATTCCTTGGGTCCCATAATAAACTCGGTAGAACAGCTGCAAATGTTTCTGAATGGAAATAACATCTCCATATTAACACTGTTATAAGTCTACTAAACTTCATTATAATTTTTCTTAAAAATGTTTTATTAAATATAAATTGAATAGTTTAACTCACTTGAACAATTTACATTATTTTACTAGACAACAAAGGAATGTATAAAGTAAAGTTATCCATATAATTTATATGGATCTTTTGTTAATATTACAAACAAAAGAAGAACATAATAAATAACAATTAGAAACAGAAATTATAAACCTTTATATATATATATATATATACTTTTTAATTAAAATTTCATACCTTCAAAGATAAGTTTTATTATACAATATTTTATAATAAATCATATATGACTATAGTGCAATATTTAAGGTTTTCTTCAAAACTCAAGTAACTGTAAATATACCCCACGTGATAACATTTTTACGCGTGTAACCTTTAAACATTGTAACTATGGTTCGTCGTCATTTACACCGTAACCATGCAAGTTTGACTTCTTAAACAAAATGTTCTTGTTTTTATTTCTAATAACTGTTTTGTTATTCTGGTCAATCAGAGGCCGCTAAAGCACGATTCATCTAATTATAAATAATAATAAGGTGCCAAAACAATATTCTTCAATTTAAATTCGGTATGGCCTCAAAATAATTTTAACAACGCAGTATAATGTCATTTTATTCATAATTATTTATCATCTTGCTTTTTCATTTGTTATATAAAATCATAATGAACTTATAACAAATTTGATAATACGTCTTAAAACGTATTATAAACGTTTATAAATGTCTTATATACGTTACAACGTTTGAATTAAATACATTAATAAAATAATAATAATTATCATTGCTATTATTGCTATTATTATTATTATATATATATATATATATACTGCAGTGAATTTTAATCCTTTGGTAGTGCAAGCCAAAAATATAGGTTGCTTATTCTGGTCAAGATTCCATGCAAAACACCCTAGCTTAACACTAAAACGCCAGGGTCACATATCAATTAACAGAGCACTTAACTGCACTCGAAAAATGGCCTGTAATCGTTTAAATGACCTTGCAGTAGAACTTCAAGCTACCGGTATTACGAAAAATTCCAAAAGAGCAGACGATAATGTGTGGATGTTTGATATTGTCATCACAAGAATCTTCAATAATGATAAGACACCACAATTTGTAAGTTATGGTGTTGATGGAACTTTAACAGGCATGGTATATGCATGGAAAAGGGAACACTGCTTAAAAATGCAGAAAGAAAACAGGGAATGTGTAACCATCCACCCATTTGTTTCATTCTCAGGTGATGTTTGTATATGTCAAGTTATTTTCTTCTCGGTTGGAATAACATGTCAGATCGTACCACAAGTAGCTGTAGAAAAAAGTTGTCATTTACTTGTTACAACACCAGAAAATTGGATGTCAGATTGTGCCTCTTTTAAGGCTGTTTGTCAAGAATTTAAAAGCTATCTTACTAAGAAGGGGATAGAAAGACCTGTTGTGTTATTATCTGACGTACATAGTTCACGATTCAGTTACAATGGTTTAGCATACCTCCTTTCAAAACAAATTTGTTTACTTATTTCTCCTCCGGACACTATAGACATACTTTCCGGAGGAGAAAACTCCTCTTTTTTGGTTGCTCAAAAGTTTGGTTGCTCGACCAGGTTAATGAAAATCTTCATCACGAATACAGAAATGCCAAGAATTCTTCTTTTAATCCAATGCAATCAATCAATCGAGAAGGGTTTATGACCATCTTAGGTAATATATGGGAGAAATGGGCATCAAAAAAATTCCTTATTTCTAACTCAAAAAGAATTGGTGTAACACTTTTTGCCTTAAAAGTAAACTTAATGCAACAAGACAAATTTGAGCAAGCCGCTGCATGCATTTAAAAGAAGAAACATCGTCACCAGCGCCAACTTTGTTTAAATCACCTGATATAGCCATTTTGTCTCCCGTATATAAAAGGAAAGTGTCGGCAAGTTACTGGAAAGTTAAGTTTAAACAGGCCCAATCAGTGACTAAAAAGTGTCTAACTTTTGGGCTTAAGTAATGTCCTATTTGTCTTGATGTTCTTCATTCAATTTGCAGCAAAGCCAGCTGCAGAGTTGATGATGTAAAACCTGTGATGGTTTTACCAGCCAATCACTTCTCCAACTCCAAAAGACTGTTTTTGCAACAAACCGATGTAGACAACATTTATAATGAAAATAATGAAGATTAATAATCCTTCTTTTTAATACAGAAATCAAATTACTTGCTGATGTTACGCTAACATTGACTTAATTTTATTAGATTAACGCTTAACGGAAAGAAGATTTTTTTTCTACATTTAGTCATAATCCATAGGTGATAGAAAAACAATATTTTGCTAACTTAATTTAAGATATATCCTCTATGTTTTTACAAAACCAAAAAAACTACTTTTTTTCTCAGCAAAAAAGCTTAATGCCTTTAAAATTTATAAAAATAATATACACTAAGTTTTGCTGTTCATGTTTAAAGTAAAACATCGTATATCTTCTAATATATTTTATTCCTACTTTACTTTTATTTCTCATATCTAACAAAATTTTAAAATGATTTTATTTTGCAAGATCCTTCTTAAAAATATTTTTTTTTCAAATAGAATATCGTTGACAATTTCTTTGGAAAAATTTTTAAAAATATTTTTGAAAATAAAATTGTTTTATTATAAATTTTTGATAACTCTTTAGAACATTTTAAAAAAGAATCTCAACGGTTATCATTTATTTATCTTTTTTGTAATATAACAATATTATTAGATAAAGATTCTGATTCTGATATTAACTATTATAATAATGAATTACTTCGAAGTATAAATCTACTATATTATGACCTAGAATCTGAGAACCTTACGAAGGAATTGGATATTAATTCGTTTTCAATATTGCATTTGAACATAAAGAGCTTACAAAAAAAACTTTATTTCATTCAAGCAGTTTTTGTCTAAAATAAAAGCTAATTTCCAGGTCATTTGCCTAGCGAAACTTGGTGTCACGATGGATATATTGAAAATGACTCAAACTATCAATTACAAAATTATAAAGTGGTTCATCAGTTTAGAAACACTGAAAAGACAGGTGGGGAAAATCTGTCTTTTCAGTGTTTTAGAAACACTGAAAAGACAGGTGGATTATGTATTTTTATAGACAACTCATTGTTATACAAACATAAAAAGGATTCATGCTCAACTAACAGCAACTACGAGTCGTTGTGCATTAAAATTATAAACAAAAATTCAAAAAATATTATCTTGTACGCTGTATACAGGCCACCTTCTGGAACAATCAAAACATTTAAAGATTATGTAAAAAAAATATTTAAAACTGCATCAAGATCAAATAAAAGCGTATACCTCGTGGGCGATTTTAACCTCAACATTCTTGAGTATGATAAAAACAAAAAAATAAAAAACTTTTTCAACTATATTTTTCAGAATAGCTACATTCCGATTATTAATAAACCCACTCGAATTACCAGAGAAAGTGCTACATCAATCGATCAAATAATCACAAATGAATTCGCAAACATCAAAATTCAATCAGGCATTGTTATATCAGACATTTCTGATCACTTTCCGGTATTTATAATGTCACATTAGTCCGATAACAATATTGTACAAAAATTGAAAAGAACATCCAGAAGAATAAATGAAATCATTATTAATGGTTTTTATAATCATTTATCTCTTAAAAATTGGAATCACATAAAAATTACAAACGTTAATACAGCATATAATACGTTTCTTAACGTTCCTGAAAGCTTTTCCAGAGACTACAAAGTTTGTCAAAACAAAAACACTGCTAAATCCTTGGATAACACAGGGTATTCTCAAATCATCAAAAAGAAAACAGCGCCTGTACAATAAATTTATCAAAAAAAGAACACTACAAGCGTCTTTATGTATCAGTTTTAAGACGTTCTAAAAAATCTTATTATTCTGAACAATTAAATAAACACAACAAAAATACACAGAAGATGTGATGCATAATTAAGGAAGTAATTGCGAAAAAAAAAAAAAGATAGCCATAGCCTCCCAAATAATCTATACACAAATAACAATTTATTACAGATAAGTATTTAATTGCAGAAAAATTTAATCAGTATTTTGTTAATGTAGGTTATAACTTAGCATCAAAAATAGAACCCACAGAAATAAAATTTGAATTTTATTTAAACTCCCATAACACCAATGTAATGAGCAATGATGAACTTACGGAAAGAGATCCGTTAGATGCAATGTTCCAGATAAAACCCAAAAAAAGTTTAGGATTCGATAATATCAGTACTCTTGTTATCATAAAATCAATAAATATATAACCATTCCACTCTTACACATCTTTAATCTATCGTTAAAACAAGGCGTTTATCTTGAAAAACTTAAAATTATACCAGTTTTCAAATCTGGAGATCTCTCAAGTGTTGTAAATTACAGAACAATTTCAATTCTTCCTTGTTTCTCAAAAATATTGGAGAGAATTATGTACAATAGACTTTATTATTTTCTCAATATGAACAATATTCTTTACAACAAACAGTTTGGATTTAAGTCAGGGCATTCACTGACCATGCTATTATTCACCTTATTAACGACATACTTAAAGCTTTCGATGAAAAAAAGTATACAGTAGGTGTCTTCATAGATCTCAGCAAAGCGTTTGACACGGTAGATCATAGTATTCTTCTAGCCAAACTATATCATTATATATCAAACTATATCAAAAACGCAAACATTGCTTGGTTCAAAAGTTACTTAAGTAATAGGAAACAATATATATCGTATGACGAAGGAAAATCAAAGTATATGAGAATCACTTGCGGTGTTCCCCAAGGATCGATACTCGGACCACTCCTCTTTATTGTTTATATAAACGACTTGTATAAGTTTTCTAACATTCTAAGTTCAATTTTATTCGCGGATGAAACTAACTTATTTTTTCTCAAATAGTAACATCGACCTCTTATCTAAAACAGTCAATTTATCTAAATAAATTATCCATAAATATAAATAAACCCAAGTATACTTTCTTTCATAGACTACACGAAAAAAATATTATTCCTTTAAAACTTCCCAATTTATGTATTGATAACTCTAACACAAAAAGAGA